AACCCTATATATATATATATATATATATATATATATATATATATATATATATATATATATGTGTGTGTGTGTGTGTGTGTGTTTAAATTTAAATTTTTTTATAAAACGTTTTAGTATTGACAAGCTCAGAGAATTACTCTAAAAGAGAAATCTCTCGAAAAGCGAAATGTCCACATAAATGCGGGGGGGGTAGCATTAAGTTTCATTTTTTAGGTAATTCTTTTATATGCTCTATAATAAATATATTGAGCTCTCTTTTGAGGATCAGTTTTAATATTTTATATTATTAGGATTCATTTGGATTACTTACCCACGAATTTGTGTATATATATATATATATATATATATATATATATAGGTGTGTGTTTGTGTGTGTATATATATTAGTTCGATATTTGAGTAGCAAACTTTCTTTAATATATGTTTCATTAAACAACATTGACAAGTTATTTTAGTTTTTATTGTGTTTTACTTTTTACGTTCAAGTGCTTTCCTTCCTTTTTAGACTTAATGAATGTAAAAATTGTCCAAATTTTTGTTGGTTTCGAGCCTTCGACTAAACTGTTCGTCATTTTGAAAGAGTTTTTTTTTCTTTTTACTCTGATTGTTTTATCTCGCCTTTCTAACTTCTTTCTTTCCTTCTTTCTTTTACTCTTCATCATCTTTCTTTCATTCATACATTTTACTCTATCTTTTTTTTTCTTTTTGCTTTCTTTCCTGTAACTTTTTATCTACTTCCTTTTACGTTTTCGCTCCATTCAACTTTCTCTTTTTTCCAGATCTCTCCTCTTTCTCTTATACAGTCTTTGTTGTTGTTCTTCTTCTTTCATTAGTTCCTTCTTTTCCACTTTCCTTTTATTTTCCTGTTTTTTTATTTCTTCAATTTGTTATTTGTAGATCTCGCTTCTCTATCTAATTTCCATTGTTTTATATTCCTTTCTTTGCCCTCTCTCCTCTCTATTTCCTCTTACCATCTCTATTTCCCCTCTCTGTTCCATCTCTGTTACTTCTCTTCTCGCTCTAGTCGCCATTTTCTCTCACATTTTCTTTAGTTCTTTAACTCTTTCTCTTTCTTTCATTCTCTTACTTATTCTTTTTTCTTTACTTGCATTATTTACATTATTCGGACTCTTGTCCACATTTTTATTACCATATTCACATTGTTTCGGTCGTTGTATGCTCTGGTCATCTTCAGGTAATTGGGATTTCTAATCAAACACTTTATTTCGACCACCAGGATAGACATCTAGTGGCCCAGTGGATAATGACTTTGATTAGATCTAGTGACTAGACTCAAAGACTTGTGAGTTCAATACTAGACCAGAGCAGTGTTGAACCACACTTGGAGAGTTAAGAGACATGGCACGTGGAACTAGAACAGAACTATAGGTGGAGGAAAATAAAGGTTCGGTTCGAAATTACAATCACCTGAAGAAGGCTGGAGCGTACAACAGCCGAAACGTTGTGAATATGGCAGTGAAGATGAGGATACCGTCCGAATAATGTAAATAATGCAAGTAATCATAATACCTCATCTCAGAGATATAGAGGCTGAATCGTTTTGAATATGGCAATGAAGATGATGGATAATAATTAGAATAATGTAAATAATGCAAGTAATCATAATACCTCATCTCAGAGATATAGTGACCGAAACGTTGTAAATATGGCAATGAAGATGAGGATAATAGTTAGAATAATGTAAATAATGCAAGTAATCATAATACCTCATCTCAGAGATATAGAGGCTGAAACGTTGTAAATATGGCAATGAAGATGAGGATAATAGTTAGAATAATGTAAATAATGCAAGTAATCATAATACCTCATCTCAGAGATATAGTGACCGAAACGTTGTAAATATGGCAATGAAGATGAGGATAATAGTTAGAATAATGTAAATAATGCAAGTAATCATAACACCTCATCTCAGAGATATAGAGGCTGAAACGTTGTAAATATGGCAATGAAGATGAGGATAATAGTTAGAATAATGTAAATAATGCAAGTAATCATAATACCTCATCTCAGAGATATAGAGGCTGAAACGCTATGAATATGACAATGGAGATGAGGATAATAGTTAGAATAATGTAAATAATGCAAGTAATCATAATACCTCATCTCAGAGATATAGAGGCTGAAACGCTATGAATATGACAATGGAGATGAGGATAATAAAAGTTAGAATAATGTAAATAAATATGACAATGTAATAATAATTACCTCATCTCAGAGATATAGAGGCTGAAACGCTATGAATATGACAATGGAGATGATGGATAACAGTCCGAATAATGTAAATAATGCAAGTAGACACACCTTTTTTTCTCTCTTTCTTTTACTTGTACATACCTTTAATTTATGCATCTTTTTCTTTTTTTCTTTCTTTTACTTATTATCTCTACCACTTTCCCATCGTACACATCTTCTCTCTATTCATCTGTTCTTTCATCTTTCTTTTTCTGCCATTCACACCCATTAAATATTATATCTGGTTTTATCTCCACTTTTTCCAAATTTCAAATCCCCTTAATTATATCACAGAACTCTGTCACATTTTCATTCCCTTTATATACAACTCCCTCCTTCTCTATAACATCATTCTCTCTCTATCTTACGTTTTCTATCGAAGCCCTACACAAATAAATGCACCCTCTCACCTCTCACTCCCCTTCACCATTCATAAAATTTCCAACACACCATAAATCCTTCTGTTCACTTTTCTGCTCCACTCAATTTGCTGTGTTCCACGTTCCTCGGAGCACACACAAAATTAATTAAATCAACATCTATTGCACCACCAAGAATCACGAATAACATTTGGTTAAGGGCTTAAACAACTGAAGGAAGCCCCACCCCCGCTGGTTGGCAAACCACAATCTGCTTGGCCCCAAAAGATGTATTCCTAACGTCAAAACCTAATGCACACAACCTTAGGTACGTGCTTTCAGGCTAAGTGATTTTATTATGAGCTGCTTTTTGCAGCTACGGACATAGTTTTGTTTCTGCCATCAGGCTTTTAAGAGATGAGGGAGCAGTTTTTCAAGCACGTTTTAATATCCAGAAATTTTAAATGCAAACGTACTCGCATGAACTTGTTCTTGACTTTGATTCTACTCTTGAACATTTACTGCTGGCGATTAAATATTTATACGCTAGAAAGATTAAATGTATTCAGCCGGGTTTTTGCATTTACATTTGACTGGCTTGTGAACTGTATCAACCACGGAATGATAGTTTCTTGTCGAATGGTAATAACTTCAAAGTACCCACTTTTAGATTATAGATATTCGATCAGCAAACGACATAATAGCTGATTATTAAACGTAAAAGATATAAGTGAACCGGTAAAACATTCTTACAGTATTTCGTCGTATTTACCGTAATTCCCCATATATAACACGCATTTTTTAAAAAAATCATAATCAAAATTAGGGGTGCGTATTATACACAGCTACAAAAAATCTTTAAAATATTGCTGTTTCATAGATCAATTTCAGTTGCAAAATGACTACTCACCACAAATTGACACTACAATTCGGCGATTGCGACCCCATAACGATGTCAAATACAATCATATATACCTAACAATACTTACAAATGCAAAATAGAATAAACAACATCATAAAACTAAATTATAATAATATTATTCTATGTTTAAACCTTTTTTTAAAATAAGAGTAGGAAACGCTGGCCACAAAAAATTGCAGAGGTACAATTTATAGGGTTTGAGTACCCAGCAAGTGGTGCGTATTATGCGTGAGTAGAAGCATTTTCCCACACTTTCAGCACAATTTTAGAGGTGGGGGCGTATTATGGATGAATGCGTATTATACATGGGGAATTAAGGTAATTAAGAAACAAGAATAGTATGAGACGGTTTTAAACCTCAAAGGCGAAAAGTAACTCCGAAAAGCATTCTTATATGTCATGAATATTTGATTAACCAAAAATAAATATATGCGAAAATTTTAAACTCAAAATATGAAAATAAATCTGAAAAAAAACCCCAAAAAAACTTCTTGTGGGTCATCGATATTTGATTAACAGACAAGAAAGATGTGAGACAGTTTTAAACGACACAATAGAAAAGTAAACCTGATAAAGCTGACGGATGAAAATGACAGCAGTAGAAGAAAGATATTAAAAGAATATTCTGAAGAAGAACAACGTGGAAGTAGAATGAAGAATTTAAACGCCCCTGGAGAAAGTAATTCCGAAAATCATTCTTATAGGTCGTCAATATATGATTAACAAAAAAATATAGAGTAAATTTAAGCTCAAATTATGAAAGTAAAGCTGAAAAACATTCTTGTGGGCATCGATATTTGATTAATAAATAAGAAAGACAGTTTTAAATCTCACGTGATAAAAGTAACTCCGAAAAGGATTCTTATAGGTTATCAATATTTGATTTGATAGAGCGACTGCCTATATTTCTGATATGATATATTGTAGTCATTTATAGTATTTTCATTGTTCAAACTGTTATCTTTACTCTTGAATTAGAATTTTGAACTGAACCTTTTATTTAAGCCACGAGAGTATATTGTTCTAATTACACGCACCATGTCTCAGTTTTAGTTAATTCCCCTTGATAATTCTCCAATTTTTTGTTTATTAGGGATTAAACTCGAAACACTTTGGGTCAAGTCATTTTTTGGATAATCAATCAATGTTTTAATCCACTGGGCCATGTGTCCTTTGGGGACGACAGCCGAAATGTCGTGAACGTGAGAGGAAATATGAGGAGAACAGTCCGAACAATATAAATAATGTAAATAGAGAAGAACGATATCAAATAATTCTAAACTTTAAAGAATAGAAATAGCAGCGAAAGACATTCGCGCTATGAATGGAACACACACACACAGGGAGAGATAGAGGGAGAGAGATACGCTACTAAAGGAACAGAGAGAGAGAGTCATGCTATGAAAGGAACACAGAGAGAGAGAGAGAGATAGTCACGCTATGAAAGGAAAAGAGAGAGAGTCACGCTATGAAAGGAAAAGAGAGAGAGTCACGCTATGAAAGGAAAAGAGAGAGAGAGAGTCACTGCCAGGAAAAGAAAAGAGAAGAGAAAGGAGAGAGAGAGTCAGAGAGAGCTATGGAAGGAACAGAGAGAGAGAGAGAGAGTCATAGGAAGGAACAGAGAGAGAGAGAGAGAGGATATGGAAGGAAATAGAGAGAGAGAGAGAGCGATGGAAGGAAATAGAGAGAGAGAGAGGGATGCGAACAGAAGAGGAAAGGGAGAGAAGAGAGAGAGATGGAAGGAACAGAGAGAGAGAGAGAGTCACGCTATGGAAGGAACAGAGAGAGAGAGAGACAGAGAGAGAAAGGAGAGAGAGAGAGAAAGAGCTGAAAGGAACAGAGAGAGAGAGAGAAACGACAGTGAAAGGAAAGAGAGAGAGAAAGAGACAGCTAACAAAGGAACAGAGAGAGAGGACAGAGAACAGAGATACAAAGGAGAAAGGAAAACAGAGAGAGAGAGAGAAAGGAAGGAAAGTGAGAGAGAGAGAAAGTGAGAGAAAGAGAAAGGAAAAGAACAGAGAGAAAGAGAGTCAAAAGGACAGAAAGGAAAAGAGAGAGGGAGAGAGAACAGAGAAATAGAGAGAGAGGAGAAAACAAACAGAAAGGAAGAAGGAGAGACAGAGATGAAAGGAAAAAGAGAGAGAGTCACGCTATGAAAGGAAAGAGAGAAGAGCGCTATGAAAGAAAAAGAGAGAGAGTCAACATGAAAGAGAAAAGAAGAACGACAGAGTCACGCTATGAAAGGAAGAATTTTGAGAGTCTAGAATGGAGGGGAAGAGAGAGAGACACTCACAAAGGAAAAAATGAGAGAGCCGCAATGAAAGGGAAAAAAGAGAGTAAATCTAGGAAGAAAACGAAAATTTAGAGTGTTCATTGGTTCATTTTTTTATGAAAGGACCATGAGAGTTTTAGAGAAAGTTTTTTCGCTATTGTCAAGGAAATAGAGAGAGAGAGAGTTTTTGTACCGATTCAACTGAAAGGAAAAGAGGAGGAGAGACAATAGTCACACTGTGTAATATAAAGATGTGGCAATGTCCTTGAGAGAGAGAGAGAGGAGTAACATGCCATGAAAGGAAACAGAGAGAGAGAGAGTCACACTATGAAAGGCAAGAAAAAGAGAGAGAGTCACGCTATGAAAAAGTGAAAAGGGAGACACGATGAAAGAAAGGAAAAGAGAGAGTATGTGAGTCATTATGCAATGAAAGGAACAGAGGGAGAGTCAACGCTATGAAAGGAACAGATATAGTCACGTATTATGTTGAAAGGAACAGAGAGAGTCACAATGAAAGGAAAAAGAGAGAATCCACCCATTTTAATAAAATAAAATATAAAGAGTAAAGTAGATGGAAGGAAGAGGTTTAAGATTTTGAAATTAAATGGAAGGAACAGAGAAAAGAGTAAGTACAATGGAAGGAAAATAGAGAGAAAGAGATCATGCCATGGAAGGAAATAGAGAGAGAAAGATCATCTATATGGAAGGAACAGAGAGAGAGTCACGCTATGGAAGGAAGGAAGAGAGAGAGAGAGAGAGAGTCAGGTTTTGAAAGGAAAGGATAGAGAGAGTCACGCTATGAAAGGAAAACCAGAGAGTCAAGCTATGAAAGGAAAAGAGAGAGAGTCACGCTATGAAAAGGAAAAGAGAGAGTCTTAAAGCCATGAAAGGAAAAAGAGAGAGTCACTCTTGAAAGGAAAAGAGAGAGAGTCACGCTATTGAAAGGAAAAGTAAGAGTCCTTTATTAAAGGAAAAAGAGAGAGAGTCACGCTTTTCTTCAGGAAAAGAGAGAGAGTTCTCACGCTATGAAATGAAAAGCGAGAGAGAGAGGAGTCATTAAAATGAAAGGAAAACCAGAGGAGAGAGAGAGAGTTCTTGTCTTTTCTTTTGTAGAGAGAGTCAAATTCCTTTCAAAAGAGAGAGTATATCCCTATGAAAGAAAACAGAGAGAGAGTTTTGTTAAGGAAAAGAGAGAGAGAGAGCTTTCCTAAGGAAGGAAATAGAGAGAGAGAGAGGATTCTCAAAGGAAAAGAGAGAGAGTCACGCTTTATGAAAGGAAGAGAGAGAGAGCAAGAGCTATGAAAGGAAAAGAGAGAGAGAGAGTGATTGAAAGGGAAAGGAAAAAAGAGAGAGAGAGTCACGCTATGAAAGGAAAAGAGAGAGAGTCATGGCCATGAAAGGAAAAGGAGAGTAGTCAATAAATTTGAAAGGAAAAGAGAGAGAGTCACGCTATGAAAGGAAAGAGAGAGAGTCAGCTATGAAAGGAAAAGGAGAGAGTCTTGCTTTGAAAGGAAAAGAGAGAGAGAACATCAAAGCAGCTGAAAGGAAAAGAGAGAGAGAAAGTCACGCTATGGGAGGAAAAGGAAAGAGAGAGAGTCTTATTTCCTGTTTAAAGGAAAGGAAAAGAGAGAGAGAAATTAAAATGAAAAAAGAAAAGAAAGAGAGATAACGCTATGAAAGGAAAAGAAAGAGAGATGAAAGAAAAAAAGAAAAAGTCACGCTATGAAAATATTAGAGAGAGAGAGTCATATCTATAAAAATTCAAGAGAGAGAGACTGAAAACTAACAAAATTTAGAGAGAAAAATCATTCTTTATGAAAGGAAAGAGAGAGAGAGTACTTATGAAAGGAAAAGGAGAGAGTCACGACATCAAAGGAAGAGAGAGAGCACGCTATGAAAGGAAAAGAGAGAGAGTCACGCTAATCAAAGGAAAAAGAGAGAGAAATGTCCTGAAGAGTTTGAAAAAAGGAACATAAAAGGAAAGTGAGAGAGTCACGCTATGAAAGGAAAAGAGAGAGAGTCATGATATGAAAGGAAAGAGAGAGTCACAAAATGAAAGGAAAAGAGAGAAGAGTGACACACACTATGAAAGGAACAGAGTGAGAAAGAGTCACATATAGATGGAAGGAAATAAAAGAAGAGTCACACACATGAAAGAAACAGATAAGAGAGTGAGGAAGAGAGAGGACACATGGAAGAAAAGAGAGAGAGTCACACACATGGAAGGAAACAGAGAGAGAGAGAGAGAGAGAGTGAAAGGAACAGAGAGAGAGAGAGTCACACAAGGATGAAAGATAAAAGTGAGAGAGTCACGCATATATAAAGAAAAAGACAGAGAGTCACGCCGCGAAAGGAAAAGGAGAGAGCCACACCATGAAAGGAAAAGAGAGAGAGTCACGCATATGAAAGGAAAAGAGAGAGAGAGAGAGAGGAAGCTATGAAAGGAAAAGAGAGAGAGTATATTATGAAAGGAAAAGAGAGAGAGACGACAATTGAAAGGAAAAGAGAGAGAGAGCCCCATGAAAGGAAAAGAGAGAGAGAGAAGTTATCATCCATGAAAGGAACAGGAGAGAGAGAGAGTCACGCTGGCAAAAGGAAAAGAGAGAGAGAGTCACGCTATGAAAAAGAAAAGTGAGAGAGCTATCTGAAAGGAAAAAGAGAGAGACATGCATAAAAGGAAAAGGAGAGAGTAAAAAAAGGAAAAGAGAGAGTCTACGCTAAGGAAAGGAAAAAGTTTTATACATATAGAGAGCAATAAAAAGGAAAGAGAGAAAAAAGGAACAAATGAGAGAGAGAGAGAGCATGAAGGGAAGGAAAAAGAGAGAGAGGATTTTGAAAGGAAGGAAAGAGAGAAAGAGGGTGACGCTAGAAAAGGGAAAAGGAGAGAGTCATGTATCCTGGAAATCAGAGATTTGAAAAGAGAGAGAGAGTCTTGCATGAAAGGAAAAAGTGAGAGATTCATAAAAAAGAACAACACAGAGTCACACTAGTGAAAAGAGAGAGATGTGTGTATATGAAAGAAAGGTGAGAGAGAGTCACGCTATGAAAGGAAAAGAAAAAGAGAGAAAATGCAAAAAGAACAGAGAGGAGAAAAGAAAAGAGAGAACTTAAACTTGAGAAAGAGTTGCAATGCCAAAAATTTGGAAGGAAATACAGAGAGAGAAAGAAAAGAGAGAGAGAAACTTTTATGGAAGGAAAGAGAGAGAGAGACAGGTAGGAAGGAAAAGAAGAGAAAAGGAAAAAAGGAAAAAGAGAGGAAAGAAAAGAAAAGAAAGAGTCAAGCCAAGAAAGGAAAAGAAAGAGAGAAAAAGAGAAGAAAGGAAAAAAGAGAGAGTCATATATGAAAGGGATAAGAGAGAGAGACTGAGGAAAAGGGAGAGAAAAGGAAAGGAAAATATGAGAGAGTCAATGATGAAAGGAAAAGAGAGAGAGAAAAAAATGAAAGGAAAAGGAGAGAGAGAGTTCACGCTAAGAAAGAAAAGAGAGAGAAAGAAAGAAAGGAAAAAGAGAGAGAGAGAGAAAGAAAAGAGAGAGAGTGAAGAAAAAGGAAAAAAGAGAAGAAAGAAAAAGAAAGGAAAGAGAGAGAGAGAGTCACGGAGAGAAGGAGAAAGAGAAAGAGAGAGTGAAAAAAAAGGAAAAGAGAGAGAAAGGGAAAAGAAAGAAAGAAAGGAAAGAGAGAGAGTAAGAAAGAAAGGAAAAGGAGAGAGAGAAAGAAAAAAGAAAGAGAGAGAGAGAGAGAAAAGGAAAGGAAAGAGAGAGAGAGAAAGAAAGAGAAAGAGAGGAGAGAGTCAAAAGAAAGAAACAGAGGAGAGAGAGAGAAAGAAAAGAAAGGAAAAAGAGAGAGAGAGAGAGAAAGGGAAAGAGAGAGAGAGAGAGGGAAAGAGAGAGAGAGAGAGTGAGTGAAAGGAAAGAGAGAAGGAGAGAAAAGAGAGAAGGGAACAGAAAGAGAGAGAGAGGGGAAAGAAAGAAAGAGAGGAGAAAGAGAGATGGAAGGAACAGAGAGAGAGAGAGAGCTATGAAAGAAAGAGAGAGAGAGAGAGAGTGAAAGATGAAAGGAACAATAAGAGAGAGTCAAGAAAAAAGGAAAAAGAGAGAGAGCAAAAAGAAAGGAAAAGAAAGAAGGAAAAGGAAAAGAGAGAGTCACGCTAGAAAGGAAATTTGAGAGAGTCAATGGCGTATAAAAGAAAAGAGAGAGAGAAGACAATAAAGGAAAAAAGAGAGAGTCAAAGCTATGAAAAGAGAAAGAGAGAGAAGCTAGAAAAGGAAAAGAGAGAGTTCGATCCTCATGAAAGGAAAAGGAACAGAGAGAGTGAGCTAGCTATGAAAGGAAAGAGGAGAGAGAAAAGATATGAAAGGAAAAGAGAGAGAAAAGCTATGAAAGGAAAGAGAGAGAGTCACGATAAGAAAGGAAAGAGAGAGAGAGAAAGAAAACAAAGGAAAAAGGAAGAGAGAGTAACCGGTTTGAAAGAAAATAGAGAGAGTCAAAGGCAAGAAAGGAAAAGAGAGAAAGATAAAATGAAGGAAAAGAGAGAGAGAGGTTCGACCATGAAAGGAAAAGAAAGAGAGATAAAAGACATGAAAGGAAAAGAGAGAGAAAGCTATGAAAGGAAAAAAGAGAGAGAGAAAAGAAAGGGAAAAAGTGAGAGAGTCACCCGTCATGAAAGAAAAAAGAGAGAGTCAAAGAAAGAAAGGAAAAGAGAAAGAAAGAAAGAAAGGAAAAGAGAGAGAGATATTTGCTAAGAAAGAAAAAAGAGAGACAGTGCTCGGCCGGGTAGTTTCAGAAAAGAGAGAGAAAGAAATGAAAAGGAAAAGTGAGAGTCAAGATATGAAAGGAAAAGAGAGAGAATCGCCGAAAAGGCTTGGAAAAGAGAGAGAAAGAAAGCTAGAATCTAATTCAAAGAAAAAGAAAGAAAACACAAACAAAGTCACGCTATGAAAGGGAGAAAGAGAGAAATAAATTAAAAGGAAAAGAGAGAGAAGATTAAAAAATAAAGGAAAAGAGAGAGAGAGAGAGAAAGAAAAAAGAAAGGAAAAAGAGAGAGAGAGAGAAAGACTATGAAAGGAAAAGAGAGAGAGTCACGCTAAAGAAAGGGAAAGAAAGAGAGAGAGAGAAAGGAAAGAGAGAGAGTCACGAGGAAAGGAAAGAGAGAGAGAGTCACGCCATGGAAAGGAAAAAGAGAGAGAAAGGGAAAGAGAGAGAGAGAGACGCTATGAAAGGAACAGAGGAGAGAAAGAGAGAGAAAGGAAAAAGAGAGAGAGAGAGTGAGCCGCCATGAAAGGAACAGAGGAGAGAGAGTCACGAGAGAGAAAGGAAAAAGAGAGAGAGAGTGAGAAAGGAAAAGAGAAAAGAGAGAAAGAGAGAGAGAGAGTGAGATGAAAGGAAAAGCAGAGAGAGAGTCTTGAAATGAAAGAGAAGAGGAGAGAGTCACGCTAGAAAAGGAAAAGAGAGAGAGCCAGGAAAGGAAAAGAGAGAGAGTCACGCTATGAAAGGAAAAGTGAGAGAGAGGGGTGAGTGAAAGGAAAAAAGAGAGAGAGCGAGCTATGAAAGGAAAAGAGAGAGAGAAAGGCTTAGAAAGGAAAAGAGAGAGAGAGAGAGAGGAGAGAGAGAGAGAGAGAGAAAGGAAAGGAAATAGAGTGAGAGAGAGTCACTATGAAAGGAAAAGAGAGAGAGGGAGTTGCTGCCATGAAAGGAAATAGAGAGAGAGAGAGTCAAAGGAAAAAAGGAAAGAGAGAGAGAGAGAGAGAGAGAGAGTCACGCTAGAAAGGAAAAGAGAGAGTCACGCTTATGAAAGAAAAACAGGAGAGAGTCACATGAAAGGAGAGAGAGACACGCTATGAAAGGAAAGTGAGAGAGAGAGAGAGAGAGTCACGCTTATGGAAGGAAAAAAAGAGAGAGAGGAGCTCACGCCAAAGGAACAGAGAAAGAGTGCTATGAAAGGAAAAGAGAGAGTTACGCTATGAAAGGAAAAGAGAGAGAGCTGCCATGAAAGGAAAAGAGAGAGTCACGCTATGAAAGGAAAAAGAGAGAGTCACGCTAAGTGAAAGGAAACACAGAGAGTCACGCAATGAAAGGAAGAGAGAGAGAGTCACGCCATGAAAGGAAATAGAGAGAGAGAGAGTATTCTAGGGAAAGGAAAAGAGAGAGAGTCATGCTCTGAAAGGAAAATGAGAGTTTTTTTATTGAAAGGAAAAGAGAGAGAGTCACGCCAATGAAAGGAAAATAGAGAGAGTCAACGGAAAGGAAAAACAGAGAGTCACGCTATGAAAGGAAGAGAGAGAGAGCTATGGAAGGAAGAGGAGAGAGTTGGTGAGGCTATGAAAGGAAAAGAGAGAGAGAGTTAATGCCATGAAAGGAAAAGAGAGAGAATATTTTGTTCAAAAGGAAAAGAGAGAGAGTTGCCAATGAAAGAGAAAAGGAGAGAGTCAATTAAAGGAAAAGAGAGAGAGGTAAAAATGGAAGGAAAAGAGAGAGTCACGCTATGAAAGGAAAGAGAGAGCTGCCAAAAATCTGAAAGGAAAAGAGAGAGAGTCACGCTATGAAAGGAAAAGAGAGAGAGTAGATATGAAAGAAAAGAGAGAGAGTCACGCTATGAAAGGAAAAAAGAGAGAAAGCTAAGAAAGGAAAAGAGAGAGAGTCACAAAAAACAAAGGAAAAGAAGAGAGAGTAGAAAGGAAAAGAGAGTCAAACCATGAAAGGAAAAGATAGAGTCACGATAGAAAGAAGATAGAGAGAGTCACCTGATGAAAGGGAGAGAGAGAGAAAGACTATGAAAGGAAAAGTTGAGAGAGATAGATAGAAAGAAAAATAGAGAGAGAGAGAGATAGATATGAAAGGAAAAGAGAGAGAGATAGATAGAAGGAAAAGAGAGAGAGAGAGAGAAAGGAAAAGAGAGAGAGAGAGAGCTAAGAAAGGAAAGAGAGAGAGAGAGAGTCACGCTATGAAAGGAAAAGAGAGAGAGAGTGAGTCATGCTCTGAAAGGAACAGAGAGAGAGAGAGATTGGAAAAATAAAAGAGAGAGAAGAGAAAGGAAAAGAGAGAGAGAGAGATAGATATGAAAGGAAAAGAGAGAGAGATCATGAAAGGAAAAGAGAAAGAGGTGAATAATGAAAGGAAAAGAGAGAGAGCTGATATATGAAAGGAAAAGAGAGAGATAGAAAGAAAAGAGAGAGAGCAGCTATGAAAGGGAAAAGAGAAGAGAAGAGAGGAAAGGAAAAGAGAGAGAGAGAGACGCTATGAAAGAGAAAGAGAGAGAGTCAAACAATGAAAGGAAAAGAGAAAGAGAGAGAGTACGCTAAGAGAAAGGAAGAGAGAGAGGACACTATGGAAGGAAAAGAGAGAAGAGTCAACAGCTATGAAAGGAAAAGAGAGAGAGTCACAGAATGAAAGGAAAGAGAGAGAGAGAAAGAAAGGAAATAGAGAGAGAGAAATGAAAGGAAAAAGAGAGAGAGACAAGCTATGAAAGGAAAGAGAGAGAGCATTCACGCTAACATAAGGAAATAGAGAGAGAGAGAGAGTAGATAGAAGGAAAGAGGGAGAGAGAGCACGCTATGGAAGGAAACAGAGAGAGAGTCACGTATGAAAGGAAAAAGGAATGGAGAGAAAGGAAAAGAGAGAGAGTTATGAAAGGAAAAGAGAGAGAGTCACGATCGGAAAGGAAAAGTGAGAGAGTCACGCTATGAAAGGAAAAACAGACAGAGTCACGCTAGATAAGGAAGAGAGAGAGAGCTACGCTATGAAAGGAAAGAGAGAGAGAGAGCTAGTATACAGGAAAAGAGAGAGAGAGGGAAAAGAGAGAGAGTCATGCTATGAAAGGAAAAGGAGAGAGTGAGTATGAAAGGAAAAGAGAGAGAAAGGAAAAAAAAAAAGAGAGAGCGCCATGAAAGGAAAAGAGAGAGAGTCACGCTATGAAAGAAACACACAGAGAGTCAATCAAATGAAAGGAAAGGGAGAGACGTTAAAAGAATTTGAAGGAAAAGAGAGGAGAGTAACGCTAAGAAAGGAAAAGAGAGAGTCATTCGCTATGAAAGAAAAAAGAGAGAGAGTGAGTCACGCTATGAAAGAAAGAGAGAGAAAATAAACATATATAAGGAAAAGAGAGAGAGAGAGTCACGCTATGGAAGGGGAAAGAGAGAGAGAGAGTCACGCTATGGAATTTTATTTCAGAGAGTGATATTTGTTTAGGAAAAAATATAGAGAGCCATATATATATATAAGGAAAGAGAGTAAGCTTTGAAAGGAAAAGAGAGAGAGAGGAAGGGTTTAGAAAGGAAAAGAGAGAGAGAGAGAGAGGAAAGGAAAGAAAGAGAGAGAGTCACGCTAAAGAAAGGAAAAGAAGAGAGAAAGCAGAAAGGAAAAGGAAAAGAGAGAGTCACACTAAAGTGAAAGGAAAAGAGAGAGAGAGAGACGCTATGAAAGGAAAAGAGAGAGAGTCACGCTATGAAAGGAAAAGAGAGAGAAAGAGTCACGCTATGAAAGGAAAAGAGAGAGAAGAGAGTCACGCTATGAAAGGAAAGAGAGAGAGAGAGAGAGGAATGGAAGGATAAAAGGAAAAGAGAGAGAGTCACGCTATGAAAGGAAAAGAGAGGAGTCACGCTATGAAAGGAAAAGAGAGAGAGAGTCACGCCATGGAAGGAAAGAGAGAGAGTCACGAGAGAGAGAGAAAGGAAAAGAGAGAGAGTCACGCTATGAAAGAAAAGAAAGAGAAAGAGTCACGCTATGAAAGGAAAGAGAGAGAGAGTCAGCTATGAAAGGAAAAGAGAGAGAGAGAAAGACGCTATGGAAAGGAAAAGAGAGAGAGAGAGAGAGAGTGAGAGCTATGAAAGGAAAGAGAGAGAGAGAGTGAGGAACAGAAAGGAAGAGAGAGAGAGTCACGCTATGAAAGGAAAAGAGAGAGAGAGTCATGAAAGGAAAAGAGAGAGAGAGAGAGAAAGGAAAAGAGAGAGTCACGCCAAGAAAGGAAAGGAAGAGAGAGAGTCAGAGAGCACGCTATGAAAAGAAAAAGAGAGAGAGGAGTCACGCCAAGAAAGGAAAAGAGAGAGAGAGTAATGAAATGAAAGGAAAAGAGAGAGAGTCAGTCGCTATGAAAGGAAAAGAGAGAGAGAGAGTCACGCCATGAAAGGAAACAGAGAGAGAGTCACGATATGAAAGGAAAAAGAGAGAGAGTCACGCCATGAAAGGAAAAAAAAGAGAGTCATGCGCTATGAAAGGAAAAGTGAGAGAGTCACGCTAGAAAGGAAAAGAGAGAGTCACGCTAAAAAAGGAAAAAAAGAGAGATAGTCACGCTAAAAGAAAAGGAACAGAGAGAGAGTCACAAGCTATGAAAAGAAAAGAGAGAGATTAAGGAAAAGAGAGAGAGCATGCTATGAAAGGAAAAGAGAGAGAGAAGAACAGAGGAAAGGAACAGAGAGAGAGCAAGGAAAGGGAAAAGAGAGAGGAAAAGAGAGGAAAAGAGAGAGATGAAAAGGAAAGGAAAGAACTAAGAGAGAGTCACGCTATGAAAGAAAAAGAGAGAGAGTTTGCTAAGAAAAAGGAAGAGAGAGAGAGTCACGCTATGGAAGGAAAAGAGAGAGAGTCACGCTATTGGAAAGAAAAGAGAGAGAGTCACGCTAAGGAAAGGAAAAAACAGAGAGTCATTTTCTGAAAGGAAAAGAGAGAGAGTTTTGCAGAAAGGGAAAGAGAGAGTCATGGAAGGAAAGGAAAAGAGAGAGTCACGCTATGGAAAGAAAGAGACAGAGTCACGCTAAGAAAGGAAAAGAGAGAGAGTCACGCTACGGAAGGAAAAGAGAGAGAGCAAGCCATGAAAGGAAGGAGAAAGAGAGAGAGAGATTTTTATACGCTATTTTTTAAACAGACAGAGAGTTGAGCACCCATGGAAAGGGAAAGAGAGAGAGAGTCAGAATTATGAAAGGAACAGAGAGGAGAGAGAGTCACGCTATGGAAGGAAAAAGAGAGAGAGTCACGCTATGAAAGGAAAAGAGAGAGAGAGTGACGCACATGAAAGGAAAAGAGAGAGAGTCATGCTAAGTGAAAGGAAAAGAGAGTCACGCTATGAAAGAAAAGTGAGAGAGTCACGCTGAAAGGAAAAGAAAGGAAGGAAAAGAGAGAGAGTCACGCTATGAAAGGAAAAGAGAGAGAGTCACGCTATGAAAGGAAAAGAGAGAGTCACGCTATGAAAGGAAAAGAGAGAGAGTCACGCTATGAAAGGAAAAGAGAGAGAGTCACGCTATGAAAGGAAAAGAGAGAGAGTCACGCTATGAAAGGAAAAGAGAGAGAGTCACGCTATGAAAGGAAAGAGAGAGAGTCACATGAAAGGAGAGAGTCACGCTATGAAAGGAAAAAGAGAGAGTCACGCCATGAAAAAGGAAAAGAGAGAGTCACGCTATGAAAGGAAAAGAGAGAGAGTCACGCTATGGAAAGGAAAAGAGAGAGAGTCACGCTATGAAAGGAAAAGGAGAGAGTCACAGGCATGAAAGGAAAAGAGAGAGAGAGAGAGAGAAGGGAGAGAGAGAGAGTCACGCTATGGAAGGAACAGAGAAAGAGTCACGCTATGAGGAAAAAGAGAGAGTCACGCTATGAAAAGAAAAAGAGAGAGAGAGCCAAGGAAAGAAAAGTGAGCTATGAAAGGAAAGGAGAGAGAGAGAGACACTATGAAAGGATGAAAGAGAGAGAGAGAGTCACGCCATGAAAGGAACAGGAGAGAGAGAGAGTCACTATGAAAGGAAAAGAGAGAGAGAGTCAGAAAGGAAAAGAAAAGAGAGAGTCACGCCAAGAAAGGAACAGAGAGAGAGAGCTCACGCTATGAAAGGAAAAGAGAGAGTCACGCCATGAAAGGAAAAGAGAGAGATAGTCACGCTATGAAAGGAAAAGAGAGAGAGTTTGCCATGAAAAGGAAAAGAGAGAGAGTCACGCTATGAAAGGAAAAGAGAGAGAGTCGCCTATGAAAGGAAAAGACAAGAGTCACGCTATGGAAGGAAAAGAGAGAGAGTCACGCTATGGAAGGAAAGAGAGAGAAAAGAAGTCACGCCAAAAGGAAGGAGAGAGAGAGAGTCACGAAAGGAAAAGAAGAGAGAGAGAGAGAGAGAGTCACGCCAAAAGGAACAGAGAGAGAGTCACGCTATGAAAGGAAAGAGAGAGAGTCACGCTAAGAAAGGAAAAGAGAGAGTCACGCTATGAAAGGAAAAAGAGAGAGAGTCACGCTATGAAAGGAAAAGAGAGAGAGAGGAGAGAGTCACGCTATGAAAGGAAAAAGAGAGAGAGTCACGCTATGAAAGGAAAAGAGAGAGTCGCTATGAAAGGAAAAGAGAGAGTCACGCTATGAAAGGAAAAGAGAGAGTCACGCTATAAAAGGAAAAGAGAGAGAGTCACTATGAAAGGTAAAAGTGGAGAGTCACGCTATGAAAGAAACACACACAGAGTCACAAGGAAAGGAAGAGAGAGAGAGTCACGCCATGGAAAGGGAAAAGAGAGAGTCACGCTATGAAAAGGAAAAAGAGAGAGGAGTCACGCTATGAAAGGAAAAGAGAGAGAGTCACGCCATGAAAGGAAAAAGTGAGAGAGAGCACGCTATGAAAAGGAAAGAGAGAGAGTCACGCTATGAAAGGAAAAGAGAGAGAGTCACGCTATGAAAGGAAAAAGTGAGAGAGCCACGCTATGAAAGGAAAAAGAGAGTCACGCATGAAAGGGAAAGGAGAGAGTCACGCTATGGAAGGAAAAGAGAGAGAGCACGCTATGAAAAGGAAAGAGAGAGAGAGAGAGAGAGAGAGAAAGCAGTGAGTCACGCTATGAAAGGAAAAGTGGAGAGAGCCACGCCATGAAAGGAAAAGAGAGAGAGTGAGTCGCTATGAAAGAAACACAGACAGAGTCACGCTGCGAAAGGAGAGAGAGAGAGTCACGCTATGAAAGGAACAGAGAGAGAGAGAGTCACGCTATGAAAGGAAAAGAGAGAGAGTCACGCATGAAAGGAAAAGTGAGAGAGTCTCGCTAAGGAAAGGAAAAAGAGAGAGTCACGCTAGAAAGGAAAGGAAAAGAGAGAGAGAGAGTCACGCTATGAAAGGAAAAAGAGGAGAGAGTCACGCTAAGAAAGGAAAAGAGAGAGTCAGAGGAGCGCCAAGGAAAGGAAAAGTGAGAGAGTCACGCTATGAAAAGAAAAGAGAGAGAGAGTCACGCTAGAAAGGAAAAGAGAGAGAGAGAGTCACTATGAAATGAAAAAGGGGAAAAGAGAGAGAGGAGTTGCCATGAAAGGAAATAGAGTGAGAGAGAGTCACGCTATGAAAGGAAAAGAGAGAGTCACTGCCATGAAAGGAAAAGTGAGAGAGCTACGCCATGAAAAGGAAAGAGAGAGGGCTGCCATGAAAGGAAAAAAGAGAGAGAGTCACGCTATGAAAGGAAAAGAGAGAGCTACGCTATGAAAGAAACACACACAGAGTCACAAGTGAAAGGAAGAGAGAGAAAAGAGCGCTATGAAAGGAACAGAGAGAGAGAGAGAGTCACGCCATGGAAGGAAAGAGAGAGAGAGTCACGCTATGAAGGAAGGAAGAGAGAAAGAGTCACGCTATGGAAAGGAAAAAGAGAGACAGTCACGCCATGAAAGGAAAAAGAGAGAGAGTCACGCTATGAAAGGAAAAAGTGAGAGTCACGCTATGAAAGAAACACACACAGAGTCACGCTATGAAAAGGAAAAGAGAGAGAGTCACGTTAGGGAAGGAACAGAGAGAGAGCCATGAAAGAAAAGAGAGTCACGCCATGGAAAGGAAAAGAGAGAGAGAGAGTGAGCCGCCATGAAAGGAAAAGAGAGAGAGCCACGCTATGAAAGAAAAGTGAGAGACGATATGAAAGGAAAAGAGAGAGAGTCAGCTATGAAAGGAAAAGAGAGAGAGTCACGCTATGAAAGGAAAAGAGAGAGTCACGCTATGAAAGGAAAAAGTGAGAGAGTCACAAGCGAAAGAAAAACAGAGAGTCACGCCGCGAAAGGGAAAAGTGAGAGAGAGTCACGCTATGAAAGGAAAAAGAGAGAGAGAGTCACGCTATGAAAGGAAAAGAGAGAGAGAGAGAGTCACGCTATGAAAGGAAAAGAGAGAGAGTCACGCTATGAAAGGAAAAGTGAGAGAGTCACGCTATGAAAGAAACACACACAGAGTCACGCTATGAAAGGGAGAGAGAGAGAGTCACGCTATGGAAGGAACAGAGAGAGTCACGCTATGAAAGGAAAAGAGAGAGAGTCACGCTATGAAAGGAAAAGTGAGAGAGAGTCACGCTATGAAAGGAAAAGTGAGAGAGAGAGAGAGAGAGAGTGAGTCACGCTATGAAAGGAACAGAGTGAGAGAGAGTCACGCTATGAAAGGAAAAGAGAGAGAGAGAGTGAGTCACGCTATGAAAGGAACAGAGTGAGAGAGAGTCACGCTATGAAAGGAAAAGAGAGAGAGAGGAGTCACGCTATGAAAGGAACAGAGTGAGAGAGAGTCACGCTATGAAAGGAAAAGAGAGAGAGTCACGCTATGAAAGGAAAAGAGAGAGAGAGTGAGTCACGCTATGAAAGGAACAGAGTGAGAGAGAGTCACGCTATGAAAGGAAAAGAGAGAGAGTCACGCTATGAAAGGAACAGAGATAGTCACGCTATGAAAGGAAAAGAGAGAGAGTCACGCTATGAAAGGAACAGAGAAAGAGTCACACTATGGAAGGAACAGAGAAAGAGTCACGCTATGGAAGGAACAGAGAGAGAAAGAGTCACGCTATGGAAGGAACAGAGAGAGAAAGAGTCACGCTATGGAAGGAACAGAGAGAGAGAGTCACGCTATGGAAGGAACAGAGAGAGAGAGAGAGAGTCACGCTATGGAAGGAACAGAGAGAGAGTCACGCTATGAAAGGAAAAGAGAGAGAGTCACGCTATGAAAGGAAAAGAGAGAGAGTCACGCCAAGGAAAAGAGAGAGAGCTACAAAGGAAGTGAAAAGTCAGCTACAAAAGGAAAAGAGAGAGAGCTGCCATGAAAGGAAAAAGAGAGAGTCACGCTATGAAAGGAAAAGGAGAGAGAGTCACGCTATGAAAGGAAAAGAGGAGAGAGAGTCACGCTAGAAAGGAAAAGAGAGAGAGAGAGCTGATATGAAAGGAAAGAGAGAGTCACGCTATGAAAGGAAAAGAGAGAGAGTCACCAAGGAAAGGGAAAAGTGAGAGAGTCACGCTATGAAAGAAACACACACAGAGTCACGCTATGAAAGGAAGAGAGAGAGAGTCACGCTATGGAAGGAACAGAGAGAGAGAGAGTCACGCTATGGAAGGAAAAGAGAGAGAGAGAGAGAGTCACGCTATGGAAGGAACAGAGAGAGAGTCACGCTAAGGAAAGGAAAAGTGAGAGAGCTACGCTATGAAAGGAAAAAGAGAGAGAGTCACGCGATGAAAGGAAAAAGGGAGAGAGAGTCACGCCATGGAAAACAGAGAGAGAGTCACGCTATGAAAGGAAAAGAGAGAGAGCTGCCATGAAAGGAAAAGAGAGAGAGTCACGCTAAGAAAGGAAAAAGTGAGAGAGAGAAAGAGACACACACAGAGACACGCTATGAAAGGAAGAGAGGAGAGAGTCACGCTATGAAAGAAAAGAGAGAGAGAGAGAGAGGAAGGAAAAAGAGAGAGAGTCACGCTATGAAAGGAAAGAGAGAGAGTGAGAAAAAGAGTGAGAGAGTCACGCTTATGAAAGGAAAAAGAGAGAGAGACGCCATGAGGAAAAGGAGAGATGAAAGGAAAGGAAAAGAGAGAGTCACGCTATGAAAGGAAAAGTGAGAGAGCACGCTATGAAAGGAAAAGAGAGAGAGAGTGAGCATGAAAGGAAAAAGTGAGAGAGACACGCTATGAAAGGAAAAGAGAGAGTCACGCCAAGAAAGGAAAAGAGAGAGAGTCACGCCAGAAAGGAAAAGAGAGAGAGTCACGCTAAGGAAGGAAAAGAGAGAGAGTCACGCCATGGAAGGAAAAGAGAGAGAGAAAGAGTGAAAGAAACATGGAAGGTCACGCTATGAAAGGAAAGAGAGAAAAGAGATGGAAGGAAAGAGAGAGAGAGTCACGCCAAGGAAAAGAACAGAGAGAGAGAGAGAGGAAAGAGAGAGAGAGAAGGAAAAGAGAGAGAGAGAGAAGATGAAAGGAAAAGAGAGAGAGAAGAGCCAAAGGGAAAAAAAGAGAGAGAGAGACGAGATGAAAGAAAAGAGAGAAGAGATGAAGAGAGGAAAAGAAAGAGAGAGAGAGAAAAGAAAAGAGAGAGAGTCAGATGAAAGAAAAGAGAGAGAGAGATGAAGAGAAAGAAAGAAAGAGAGAGAGAGGTGAAGAAAAGAGAGAAAAGGAACAAAGAGAGAGTCACGCTATGAAAAGAAAAAGAGAGAAGAGTCACGCTAAAAAGAGAAAGAAAGGAAAGAGAGAGACGCTAGATGAAAGGAAAAGAGAGAGAGTCAGATGAAAGGAAAGAGAGAGAGAGAAGAGATGAAAGGAAAGAGAGAGAGAGAGAGTCACGCTATGAAAGGAAAGAGAGAGAGAGCTGCTATGAAAGGAAAAGAGAGAGAGTCACGAGAAAAGATGAAAGAGAGAGAGAGAAGCTATGAAAGAAAGAGAGAGAGTCACGCTATGAAAGAAAAGAGAGAGAGTCACGAGAAAGAAAAGAGAGAGAAGAAAGGAAGAGAGAGAGAGATGAAGCTAGAGAAATGAAGAAGAGAAAGAGTAGAGATGAAAGGAAAGAGTGAGAGAAAAGAAATGAAGGAAGAAAGGAGAAAGAGAAAAGTTAGACAATGAAAAGAAAAAAAGAAAATATCCATTTTCTTTTTTTAAAGGAAACCAACCTCAGAATCACGAAGAGAAATTTACACAGACAGAGTCACGCTACGAAAAGAGAGAAAGAGTCACGCTATGAATTTAACTCCGTAGAGAGTACATGTTCTATAATTTTCAAAAAGAGAGAGAGAGAGTAATTTTAGTATAAGGAAAAAAAGAGAGAGTGCATTTTCCTTTAAGAAAAGAGAGAAAATATCTAACCCAGAAAGGAAAAAGAGAGAGAGTTAATAACATTTTCAAGGAAAAAATGAGATCTTCATTTTATTTTTTCAAAAAGAGAGAGTCGATGTTCATTGTAAAGAATCTGTGGAAATATTTGAAATTATAAAAGAGAAAGAGTCACGCTGTTATACAGATTCTATAAGAAGAGAGAGTTTGTTTTTATGAAAGGAAAAGTGAGAGAGTAGTAATTACAAAAAAAAAGAAAGAAAAATGAAGAAAAAGAAAGAAAATTTAAAGGAACAAAGAGAAAGGAACTAAAATAGGAAAAAAAGAGAGACAGAGGAGGTGAAGGAAAAACAAAAACAAAAAAAAAAAAAAAGAAAAACAAAAGAAAGGAAATAGAGAGTTCCCCCACAATAAAAAAAAAGAGAGAAAGCAAAATAAACAGAGAAAAAAAACCCCAAAGATGGGGGAAAAATGAAAAGAGAGGGGAGAGAAAAAGAAAGGATAAACAAAAAAGAAAAGATAAAAAAGGAAAAACAAAAAAAAAATCCCAGAAGAATGAGAAGAAAAGAGAAAACAAACACCCTAAGAAAGGAAGAGAGAAAAAAATGGCAAAACTAAAAAGGAAAAGCAAAAAGAGAAAATAGTCAAAAAATAAATGGCGGGGGAAAAAAAATCCAAAAGAAGGAAAATAAAAAAGAAAACAAAGAACAGAAAAAGGGGAAAAAAACAACAGGAAAAACAAAGCACGCAAAAAAAGGAAAAGGAAAAAAAAGAGGAAAAAGGAAAGAAGAGAAAAAAGAAAAAGAAAAAAAGAGAAAAAGAGAAAGAAAAAAAAACAAAAGGAGGAAAGAAAAAGAAAGAAAAGAGGAACAAAAAGAAAGAAAAGAGGAAACAAAAAGAAAGTCAAAAGAGGAAACAAAAAGAAAAAAAACAGAGTCACGCTGAAAAAAGAAAAAGAGAGAAAAGCTAAAAAAGGAAAAGAGAAAAGAAAGAAAAAAAGAAAGGAAAAGAGAGAGAAAAAGAGAAAAAAAAGAGAGTCAAAAAAGAGGAAAAAGAAAGAAAAAAGAGAAGAAAGAAAGAAAAAGAGGAAAAGAAAGGAAAAAGAGGAAAAGAAAGAAAAGAGGAAAAAGGAAAAAAGAAAAGAAAGGAAAAAAGGAAAAAAGAAAATAAAAGAGAGAAAAAGAAAAAAACCAAATCCAAATGGAAACAAAGAGAATAAAAAAAAAATAAAAAAGGAAATAAAAAAAATAAGACAAGGATAGTTTTATATGAAAAGGAAAAGATTGAGAGTCACATTTCCAAGGAAAAGTGAGAGAGTCAAGTCAAGAAAGGAAAAGACAGAGCTACGATGTCAAAAATTCACAAACCAAGAGTCCACACACCCACAAAAGGAAAAGAGAAAAGTTAACAGGCTTGAATTAGTTCCCTTCAAACAACAGAAAAGAGAGAGAGTCTGGCCATGAAAAGAACAGGAGAATTTTTAATGCACCCACTATGAAAGCAAAAACTGAGAGAGAGTATATATATATATATATATATATATATATATATATATATAAGGAAAAGAGAGTCAACTAGGAAATATAATAAATATATATATATATATAAGCCATTTTATTGAAAGAAACACAATATAGATATATATATATATATATATAGAGAGAGAGTATATATATAAGGATATATATATATATCTAGAGTTACGCTTGAAAGGAAAAGGAGTGAGAGGTGAACGCTATGGAAGGAAAAGAGAGAGAAAAATTGTTCAAATACTTTTTTTTTAAAAGTTTTTAAAAAGAAAAAATCATATGAGAACAAGAAAATTAAACTAAATGCTTAAAGAGAGAGAGTCACATCTTTGAAAGAAACTTGTATAAAAGAGTCATTACTATGAAAGGAACAGAGAGTGTGTGTGTGTATATATCAACAACCTAAACTAGAGAGAGAGTCACGCTATGGAAGGAAAAGAGAGAGATGCTAACTATGAACAGAAAAGAGAGAGAGATCCATCTATGAAAGGAAAATGAAGAAAAATTATATTGAATCCATTGAGGTCTGCTGCCAAGAAAGTTGGTTCATTCACGCTATGAAAGGAAAAAAAAAAGAGTCTATCTGAAAGGAAAAGAGAGAGAGACCATTGATCAATGCTAGAAGATTGTCACATATGGTCCTGACCAGCCATAGAGGCTAAGTTCTAAGGAAAGGGAAAAGAGGAGAGAGTCAATTCAAGAAAAATCTGCAAAATTTAAAATGCAGAGTCACGCTATGAAAGGAAAATGAGAGAGACATGTTTCTGAAGGAAAAACACAGAGAGAGATGAAAGTGGCTTTACACGCTATGAAGGAACAGAGAGAGATAGGATATATATGAAAGGAAATAGATATGAGAGAGTATGTATGAATGGAAAAATTATAGAGAGAGAGAAAATATATACGCTATGGAAGGAACAGAGAGAGAGAAGTGCTCACGCTATGAAAGAAAAGAGAGAGATGATCAAAAAAAAAAAAAGAGAGAAAGAGAGAGAGTCAAACCAACTAAGGAAAGAGAAAGAGAGAGCCAGAGAAAGGAAAAGAGGAAGATTGAAAGGAAAAGAGAGAGAGAGAGGGGGAAAGGAAAAGAGAGAGAGTCACGACAGAGAAGGAAGAAGAGAGACAGACGCTATGAAAGGAAGAAGAGAGAGAGAGCTATGGAAGAGAGAAGAAAAGAGAGAGATAGTGAAGAGAGAAGAAAGACAGAGATACGTTAGAGAACAAAGAGAGAGAGTAGAAGGAAAAGAGAAAGAGAGATAGTGAAGAGAGAAAAAGAGAGATAGAAGAGAGAAGATAGAGAGAGTCACGCTATATATATAAATATAGAGATGAGAGATGAAAGCACAAACACATACGCTATATTTAAACACACAGAGATTTATATGAATTTTTTATATATATATATATATATATATATATATAATTTATATATATATATATACACACACACACACACACAGAGTTCATTTATACCCCCAAGGAAGAAAGAGAGAGAGATGCCCATGGAAGGAAGAGAGAGAGAACAGAAAGGAAAAATTAGAAAGAGAGAGTCCCACGCTAAACAAAAGATAAAAAAGAGATCAGAAAAATCAGATAAAAACCAAAAAGGAAAGGAAAGAGAGAGAGCCATTTGCTATGAAAGGAAAAAAGAGAGAGAGAGTAACGCTATGAAAGGAACAGAATGAGAGTCACGCTATGAAAGGAAAAGAGAGAGTCACGCTATGAAAGGGAAAGAGAGAGAGTCACGCTATGAAAGGAAAAGAGAAACAACTATGAAAGATGAAACACAGGTCACGCTATGAAAGAGAGAAAGAGTCACGCTATGAAAAAAAAAAAAAGAGAGAATCACGCTATGAAAGGAAAAGAGAGAGAGCCACGCTATGAAAGGAAAAGAGAGAAGACGCTATGAAAAGAAAGGAGAGAATCATGCTATGAAAAGAAAAGAAAGTAGAGAGAGCCACGCTATGAAAGAAACACACAGAGTCACGCTATGAAAGAAACACACACACACACACACACACACTGAGTCAGGCTATGGAAGGAAAAGAGAGAAAGAGTCACGCTATGGATGGAACAGAGAGAGAGAGAGTCACGCTATGAAAGGAACAGAGAGAGAGAGAGAGAGAGAGGGAGAGTCACACTATGAAGGAACAGAGAGAGAAAGAGAACGCTATGGAAGGAACAGAGAGAGAAAGAGTCACGCTATGGAAGGAGAGAGAGAGAGAGAGAGAGAGAGTGAGGGAGAGAGTCACGTTATGAAAAGACCAGAGAGAGAGAGAGAGAGTCAAGTCATGAAAGGAACAGAGAGAGAGAGTCAAGCTATGAAAGGAACAGAGAGAGAGTCACGCTATGAAAGGAACAGAGAGAGAGAGAGAGTCACGCTATAAAAGGACCAGAGAGAGAGAAAAGGAAAAAGTCACGCTATAAAAGAACAAAGAGAGAGAGAGAGAGTAATGCTATGAAAGGAACAGAGAGGGCGAATGTGAGTCACGCTATGAAATGAACAGAGAGGGAGAGAGAGAGTCATGCTATGAAAGGAAAAGAGAGAGCCACGCTATGAAAGGAAAAGAGAGAGAGTCACGCTATGAAAGGAAGAGAAAGAGAGAGAGAGAGTCACGCTATGAAAGGAACCGGGAGAGAGAGAGAGTGAAAGTGACGCTATGAAAGGAAAAGAGAGAGAGTCACGCTATGGAAGAGAGAGAGAGAGAGAATCACGTTATGAAAGGAAAAGAGAGAGAGTCACGCTATGAAAGGAAGAGAAAGAGAGAGAGAGAGAGAGAGAGTCACGCTATGAAAGAAACCGAGAGAGAGAGAGAGAGAGAGAGAGAGAGTCACGTTATGAAAAGAAAAGAGAGAGAGAGAGTCACGCTATGATAGGAACAGAGAGAGAGAGAGAGAGTCACACTATGAAAGGAATAGAGAGAGAGAGTCACGCTATGAAAGGAATAGAGAGTCACGCTATGAAAGGAAGAGAAGAGAGAGAGAGAGAGAGAGTCACGCTATGAAAGGAACAGAGAGAGAGAGAGTCACGCTATGATAGGAACAGAGAGAGAGAGAGAGTCACACTATGAAAGGAATAGAGAGAGAGAGTCACGCTATGAAAGGAATAGAGAGAGAGAGAGTCACGCTATGAAAGGAATAGAGAGAGAGTCACGCTATGATAGGAACAGAGAGAGAGAGAGAGAGAGAGTCACGCTTTGAAAGGAATAGAGAGAGTCACGCTATGAAAGGAATAGGGAGAGAGAGAAAGTCACGCTATGAAAGGAATAGACAGAGAGAGAGAGACAGTAGTACGCTTAAAGGAACAAAGAAAGAGATTGTCACACGCAAAAAGGAACAGAGAGAGAGAAAGAGCCAAAAGGTGAAAGGAACCCAGTGAGAGGCAAATTCAGAGAAATTATAAAAACTCAGACTTTTCAAAAATAAAATTTTAATGCCAATTGCAAATTTTTTAAACAACTTTTTTATAGAAAATTTTCAATTTTCTTTTTAATTGAAACCAAAATGAAAACTTCAAATATATTTCAATTATTGTATTATGTATGAAAATTTTATTTTCAAAAGGTAATCATTGCTAAATTGTTTCTGTTTTTAAATGCCAAAATTATATTCTCAAATGATGGGCAATTAACGTGTTTCATAATATTAGTGCAATAGTTTTTTGGTTCTTTTGTTTAATCTCGTAGAATCAATTGGATTCTCACCGGGCGCATCGAGAGAGAGAGAGAGAGAGAGAGAGAGAGAGAGAGAGAGAGAGAGAGAGAGAGTCATACACAAAAAGGAAGCAAAAGATCAAAATAAATTAGAGTGACGGGACGTTTGGTCTGCCAATGGCGGCAAGTAAGTTTAGTTTGTTTTGTTTTACGGCATATCAAATTCAATGGATTATTTAGTGCCAACAAGATTTTTATTGCTGGTAATATTTTTTTTCAAAAATGGAATGCTGGTAATAATTTTCCTTCAAAAAATATATTGCTGGTAATAATTTTTTCTTTAAAAATTCATTGCTGGTAATAATTTTTTTAGAAAAAAGTATTGCTGGTATTAAAACCTATTTTTACACTTTCATAGTGTTTTGACCCCAGTTTGGGGGTTAACTATTTGCCCATAGATGGAAGCCTAACAGGTGCTACCACCTCGTGTCAGGGCGGACCTGGGAACATAAGAAGAAAGAATGAAAGAAAAAGGAGGAAGAAAGAAAGAAATGGAATAAAAAAGATGATGAAGGAGAAGAAGAAAGGGAAAAACAAAGATAGCTGAAAAAAGGGGCGACAGCAGAAAAAGAATCCGATGAAAGAGGATGCCTGAAGAATAATGGAAGTAGAATGAAATGGGGAGAACAATATGAAACAAAAGGAAATGAAAGAAGCAGACGACAAGATAAAAAGAAATAACAAAATTGCAGATAGGAGAAAATAATTGGCTGGAGAAAATATGGTTGCAAAATTTTTCTTTTTTTTTCTTTTTTTTTTATTCGTTGCTTCCTTTCCGCAAGCCGTGAGTGTTTTTCTAACTGTTGAGCTGCAGGTTGGCTATATCGAAGAATTTGGATTGCGTCAGTGGGAGAGCGATGTAAGACGCAGGAAGGGACGGGAAATTTTTGCCAAAGGGGAAAAAAACCTTCTCGTTAACTTTTCATACGGACGAGCAGGGAGGGAGGTATGATAGAAGAATTGATAAAGGAGACAGGAAATGAAAAAGATGAAGAAGATTAAAGAGGGAAAGGAGAAGAAAGTAGATAAATGGGAACGAAGGGAATGATAAAAAGAAGAAAAGAAATAACTGAAGACAAAGAAGAAAAAGAAAAATATAAACTGACCAAAGAAAGGAAACATTTAAATGAAGAAAAAGTAACAAAGAAGAAGAAGAAGAAGAAGAAATTGAATAACAAAAGAAAAAGAAAGAGAATGGTAAAAGAGAAAGAAGAGGATGGAAATGATAAAAGGGAGGGGGGAATGACAAAAAAAGAAAAGAAATGAGTGAAGATGAAGAAAAAAGAAAAATAGAACGTCTAGAAAAAGAAAATGATAGCAAATGAAAAAAAGAAGAAAAAAAAGAATAACAGCAGAAGAATAGATTGATGAAGAAGAAAAATGGCGAAAGAAAAAGTGAAAAAACGTATGTAGAAAAGGAATGACAACAAAAGAAAAAGAAGAAAAGGAATGAAAATAGATGAAGAAGAAGGAGGCAAATAGAAGAAGTTTAACTGAAGAAGAAAAAAATTCCAAAAATAAAAAAAAAAGAAAGGAAAAAGAATGAAAACAGTAGAAGGGGACGAATTAATAAAAAGATAATAACTGAAGAAATTAAATGAGAATAGATATAGACGAAGAAGAAATGAAAAAGGCAAAGAAGTTAGAAATAAAACGAATAATTAGAAGTGAAACGATGAAAAAAAAATCTTTGACTGTACGTCAGTTGTACCGAATAAGCGGGAAGTACAAAAATGATCAAAGGTAAAGAAAGACACAAAACAATCAGTAATAAAACAAAATGTCTGCCGAGTTTTCATTCATTTGAGCAACAATAAGAAAAAGGGAGAGAAAAAAACAACAACAACCTAACAATGAGTGTGAGAAATTGATAAAGCTGGATTGGCGGTGAGGGTAGAAAGCGAAAAACAATCTTTTTTTGAAGAATGGTGGACAAGTTTCACCAAATAATGTACAGAAATCAAAGAAAGAATTTCCCGCCCATCCAAATAATAAAAAACAAAGATAAGTAGAATTATATGGATCGTACTGGAAGGTGTAAAAATAAAACTCCTGAAGCATTGGTGTGTAAATATCAACATTAATAAATTCAGTTTATGTTCCAGCTCATCGGCTTGGAACACACACACACACTGCATATTTTTTTCTTTGGCAATTATTATTTATCTGTCTTTAACTTTCTTCTGTCTTTTGGCTTACGGCATTATCACGTTGAAACATCGGTACTTGCCCGATCACCGACGTTGAGCAACGTCGATCCTGGTCAATACCTAAATGGGTAACACCTTGGGAAAACCAGCTGCTGTAAGTTTGGATTATATTCACTTACGCGTAAATAACCTTGGGCAAGACAAGAATCCATTTCTTCCCCACCAAGCTATGTGTTAACACACACACACACACACATATATATATACACACACACATATATAAATACACACACACACACATATATAAATACACGCACATATATAAATGCACACACACATATATATATAAATACACACACACATATATAAATACACGCACACATATATAAATGCACACACATATATATATAAATACACACACACATATATATAAATACACACACACATATATATAAATACACACACACATATATATATAAAGACATACACACATAAATACACATACACATATATAAAGACACACACACATATATAAAGACACACACACATAAATACACATACATACACACATATATATATATATATATAAATACATGCGAACGCATATACTCCCGGGCAGGAAAATGAATTAAGATTTTGTATAATGATGACGTATGTAGTCATTAATCCGAAATAACCCCCCAGAAGAAAGTGAGAAGATAGGTCTAAACATCAACTGCAAGGAGATGACAGAATGCGTGGTTGTTAGTAAAAAGATGAACCAAAAATACAAATTGCAAATCGCTGATAGCAAAATGAAACAAGTACAAAAATTGAAATATCTTAGAATTGCTCTAACAGAGAACGGAAAGTGCGACAGTGAAATTCGAAGGCACATTAAGGTAGCGAAAGATGCCTTCCAAAAGCTGAGCAAAGTATTAAGAGAGAGAAGTTTCGTTCGAAACAAAGAAAAGAGGACTGAATTGTTATGAAATCAGTCCTCCTATATGGCAGTGAATGCTAGTTAATCTCCTCACAGATGAAGAAAAGACTTGAAGCAACGTAAATGTGGTTCTACAGAAGGATGCTGAGGATATCATACACCGAATATATGAGTAACGACGACGTTTCGGGGGAAATGGAAACAAAAAGGAAACTTATTTAACATCGGGAAGAGACAGTTAAAATTTATGGGGTACATAATGAGGAAAGAAGGTTTGGGAAATTTGGTACTCATAGGGCAGATTAAAGTCAAGAAGGAAACAACGCATAAATTACTTAGTGAGCCTGTGTAGGTGGGTAGGGGAACAAGTTTTAGGAGAAATAAAAAAAGAATTTATTATGAGCTACAAAAACAGGAAATTGTGGAGAGCCATGATCATCTACATCCTGAAAGGACACAGCATATAAAGCAGAAGAAACTCAACATCGTCTAAGCTCTCATTTGTCGAGTATCAAATCATGAGTGATCTTAATAGCTTAGCGAATATTTTATGAGACAATCTTTTTATCATGCAACAGGAAAACGTCTACACTCTTAAGCTTAGCATAGCTTAGCAGAAAGAAGAAAATGAAGAAATAAGAAAGAGAAATAAGGAGAAGAAAGAAAAGAAAAAGGGAAGAAAGAGATGGGGGCGGGGTGAAAAAAGACTAAGAAAAGAAATATAGAAAGATAGAGGAGAGAAATAAGGAAGAAGGAAAGAAAGAATGAGAAAGGAAAAAGAAAGAGGGAAAAACTGGAGAAGGAAATAAAGAAAGAGAGGAGAAAGAAAGGGGGGTGGAAAGAATGAAAAAAGTAAAGGAAAACAGGAAAGACATGTTGTGAATGAAAGATAAGTCTAAAAAGAAAGACAGCAACGAAAGAAAACTGAATTCCAAACCGTGAAAAAAAAAAACAAAAGAAAAAAAAAAAAAGCGGGAAATCACACACTTCCCTATCTTTCACAAGAAGCCATGATAATTAACAAATAATAACGAAAAGGAAGCTGTGAAGGTCCATGGTCAAATTCGAGCTTAAGAGGAGCAGCATTATAAAAATGACTAAAAATAAGAATTTTTATAGTTCACATTTTTATTATTAGGTCGAGCTAGCTCAGACATAAGTCTGTTGCGCTAAGCATTACTGTCCTGCATCAAGGTCGGAAGGTCATTAGGGAGCCATTTTGTGCCATAACACACCTGGTCCTTGTAGGTGGTTGCTGGGCGACCAACACAACTTGATCCATGGCTAGGTGTCCAGAGCAGTAGATCACACGCGAGTTTTTGCTTAGCTCAACAACAGTGTCATGCAAAGTGTATTCTGTGTTTACATAAGATTGTAGAAATATCAAGAAGGAGTCCAGAGATCTGTGATTTAGTTCGATATTGTCTCCAGATGTTAAGTATAGCTCTCAGCATTCGAGTGCAGTTTCCATCAAGATTAGACTTTTGGGTTTTAATTATTGATCACGTAGTTGCACCAAACATTAACACCTCCTCTACAGTGGCTGAAAAGAATCTTTGCTACTCTGATAGATCAGATTTCCAGAAAAATATAACTTTTTATATTGTGGTTTTAATTTTAGGGTAATTTACTTTGACTAAAACTGTTGATTTAATAACTTTTTTTCTATAAGTTATTTATGGTGGCATTTATCACCTCCAAGTTAAATGATAAACCTGTGACCTATCTGTTTATTTCATTATCACAACAGAAACTTTCCCCCTCTGTAGCAAAATCAGTGATGCTTTTTTTTTTAGTATAAATCTCTCTCTCTCTCCTCCTCTGGTTGAGTTGGTTTATGCAAGCTTACACCTAATGTCTTTGTGTTCAAATGCAGCTGAAGAACAAAGTTTTAAACACTGGTTTTATAAGTCAGTTTCATTTCTTTAAGAGATTCATACTGTTAAAATTTTATTTTTTGGTTGAGCTAGCTTTAACATTCATAATTTTATCATGTCAGCCATCACGGTCCTGCATTAAGGTCGGAAGCTCATTAGGGAGGCATTCTGTGTCATAACACAGCTGGTCAATGTAGGTGGTTGCTGAGTGACCAACACGCTCCATGGTTAGGTGTCCAGAGGAGTAGATCATCCATGAGTTTCTGTTTTGCTCACCAGCAATGTCATGCAAAGTGCATTTTGCGTTTGCATAAGATTGTAGAAATATCAAGGAGTCCAGAGAGCTGTGATTTAGTTCGATATTGTCTCCAGATGTTAAGTTTAGCTCTCAGCATTCGAGTGCAGTTTCCATCAAGCTTAGACATTTGAGTTTTAATTATTGATCAAGTAGTTGCACCAAACATTAACATCTCCTCTACAGTGGCTCAAAAGAATCTCCGTTTGAGATTATCTAGGAGATCAGATTTCCAGATTACATATATTTTATTCAAGGCTGACCAGGCTTTAGTGATACGATCTTTTTCAGTAGAATTTATTTTAGTTCCTTAAGGTATGTAAAAGATTCAACAGATTTTATTCATTCACCTGAGACACTTTGTATTGAAGTTTGAAGTTTATGAATTCAGTTTTAGAGGCATTGATATACGACCCAACATCATTGCACATGAGTATCACAAATAGGTTTTTTTTTATATTCCAAAAATACAAAGTTCAAATGACTTATCTGGTTAGCCGACTCAAGAGTTTTGCCCATCAGGACCTATTGTTTGTTAAATCTATTTTTTTGATTTTGTGACTTGTAGATACACCCTGTGTACTGCAGTCACAGTAGAAGTGGTGTTTCTGGGGCAAGATAGCCTGACGGAGACCAACCCTCTCCAGACCGGTTTTGAATTAAGCGTTTTTCCTTTTCCTAGACCGGTTGCCACCCAAGGTTATAGTACCCAGTCTCTCCTGGTATTTACCTATAGCTGGGCGGAGAAGAAGAGGATTCATACCTTTTTCAAGTGTATTAGGATGTAATTCACTGGAATTCAATATATATATATATATATATATATATATATATATAAAACAAAAGGTGTTGTTACAGTAAGGTGTGCCTAGATTTTCTTTTATTTTTCAATTTTAAAAGTAGTTTTCATGACTAAGGCAAAAAAAAAAAAATTTAAAGTCAACTCTCTCATACGTTCTCGCACGTTTTTTTTCTCTCTTTTATTAACTCTTTCTTACTCTTTTCTTTACCGCTCTCTTTTCTCTATTCATCCCTCTTTCTTGCTATCTACTTACCCCTCTTTCTTTGGTTATTCACTCCTACTTCGATTATTCGCACTTTCCCCCCCCTCTTTGAAATCTTGCATTATCTATGACTTAAGAAACTAACTAGTACCAATTTACTTACCAGTCTTCCTACATCGCGCGATCAGGAATCCCGTGACCCATGAGAGTCTGCATTCACTGGTTCCCAGACTTCATGAGTTCAAGCGCCCTACAAGGCTGGCATCCTGCTCTCACCCCTTCACTGTCGAAACTCCTAAATGTAGCCGTCTCTTCTACTCCAATAGCTTCATGTCTCGTACCTCTCGCCTGTGGAACTCCCTTCCCTATTCCAGTTTCCCTGAGAGCTATAATCTCCAGCTATTCAAATGTAATGTCAATCGACATCTCCAGTTGCCTTGATCTATGCAATCCCTTTTAAATCCTTTCTTCGTAATATTACTCCTATCTTTTTTTGCTCCAAATTTTCTGTAACCCCTTTTTTTGTGAAACGCTTAAAAAACAAAAAAAAGTCGTAGGGGCACCGCTGCAGAAGTGATGTTTCATGGGCAAGATAGCCTGACGGAGACCACACCGGTTTTGAAATCTGAGTTTTTCCTTCTCCTAGACCGGTTGCCACCCAAAGTTATAGAACTATTTATCCATAGTTGGATGGAGAATAGGAGGATTCATACTTTTCCTAAGGGTATTAGCACGTAAGTGAATGTAATCGATCCAACTGGGATTCGAACTCGGCTCTCCGATTCCTCAATCTGAGCCGCTATCTATTACTCCACCGTTGCCTTCCTTTGATAAATCTGTATAATTTATTAAATCTCACATATACTTATATTAAAAATTATAATATTTGTTAATTAAATAAAACTCTGATGATAATGTAACCCCGGAATCATTCGAAAATGTCCTCCTTTCAAACTGTTTTTATGGTTTCGAGAAAGGAAATAAACGGAAGAAAATCTAGCAAATCGGGTCGTTGGTTTAAACACCGACGCCTTACATTCATCAAAACATCTATCGATTTGTCAAACATCTCATCAGTTGTATTGCCTTGTGAAAAGAAAATACTTTTCCCTAATTTCCTTCGGCATTTGTTTTCTTCCAACGGCGATTTTAATTGGTGCAGCGAGACAGCTCAGTGCTCTACATTAAATGTTTGGCCATTTTAAAGATGATTTGCCAACAAAATATCTTCCTTATCTCTTAGACATATGACGAGGACCTTTCCTTATGTCTTGAATTTCTTCGACAGTGGAGAAGCCGAGCTTCGCCATTGCATCGGCTGATGTTTGGTATGCAATATTATCCCTTTGCTGACCAGGCATCTCTAATCCGTTCAGGTCTCTCGATCATCATTTAACCATTTTCTCCAACAATGACAAGTCGTCCCAAAGAAATATCTGCCATGTTTCCATAGTTTTCTTTGTCGCTTTTCTTAACGGCTCTTTTAATCAGTGCCATGTTTGTTATTTTGAAGATTGTCAGTCATAAAAATATCTTCCTTGTCCTTCTAACTTTCGGGTTTTTTTCCGTGTCACCAACCATTGAATTGGCTGATTGTCATTTTTGACAATACTTTTCGTTCATTTTAATTATAAATAAAAAAATACTTGTCAAAATTTATATCTTTCCCTCCGCGCTTGTATCGTCAGGACGTAAGCAATTATAGTTCCCTATAAATTCCTATTGTTTGTAACTCTTAATAAGAATTGCATTTCCAATATTACTACCGCTCCCTGTTCTGATACCCATTTATAGTGTCGTAGTTAGCTCCTCCTTAATTCCTTAATTGTTCACTAGGGAACGCTCTCCCTACACTATAAATGCTGGGCGAGTTCTTGCCTCGTTCTCTTTTTCATTTGCATTTGAAAAAGACACATTTACAAAATGTGATCTCTCATAGAAAACCTTGTTTTACCCATGTTGTGGGAAAAAACCAATAAACAAACATACACGGTTGATTTAATAATATTTGGAAAGAAAATTTAATAACTAAGCCAGTATTAGTAATCTAGAAGATGGCAGTAACAAAGTCAGTATTAGTAAATATAGAAGATGGCAGTAACCAAGCCAATATTAGTAATATTAGATTGCAGTAACCAAGCCAATATTAGTAATACAGAAGATGGTAGTAACCAAGTCAGTATTAGTAATATAGAAGACGACACTAACCAAGACAGTATTAGTAATATAGATTGCAGTAACCAAGCCAATATTAGTAATGCAGAAGATGGCAGTAATCAAACCAGTATTAGTAAGTGAAATGAAAACTAAAAAAAAACAAACAAAAAAAAAAAAACAAAAACAAAAACACGAAAACAATGAAAATCGTGAAGAAAGTTATAATAAATATGAAAATAATCAGCGACAAGGGAGGAAATTTCTTTGACTGACGGAATAAAACGAAAGGAAAGTGTTAAAGACATAAATGAGAGGAAGAAATAAAGTATAGAGAAAAAAAAAAGCGACATTGCCATACGAATGAATACTCTTCAAAGATGTTGAAAAGAAGATGGCGGTAAATTAATAAAGAAAAAAAATCAAAGACGAAGGGAATCGAAGGAACTTGGATGGGAAAGAAAGCTTTCAATATAGAGAAAGATGAAGCAGCAAATGAGTGAGATGAAAGAAAAAAAAATGTCTAGAAACAGAGAAAATGACAGACAACAGCAACAACCCGTCCCATCAAGGATTAAAAAAAAAAGAAGCTAATTTGCGAAACCAAGTCATAATGTCTACGCTTCCCTACGAGTCAACTAAAAAGAAACGAAATCAGCCACCAATCTTCATAAATACATTTTTTTCTCTCTTTCTTATTGTGTATTCATCTGGCAATATATTCTGACTTATATCTCGAAAGTACATTACCTTTACAAAACGAGCAAGAAAAATTAATATCAGGAAAGAAAAACTTTCAAGTTTGGCAAGCAGCCCATCCCCCATATCGTCAGCAATTCATTCAACTTCACTTAGCTTGGCGCAAGTGTGGAATATCCAAAGATAATCGAACTTAACTCAGTCGTAATGAAACTCGTTAACCACAACTTTATAACCAGGCATAAAATATGTTTACAAACCAACGTCTTTATCCACTGGGCCATATATCTTTGAATTAAAGGGAAATAACTGAGACATCCGGAAGAGGCATGAGAAGTGGAACTAGAACAATCTACCCCGGTGGATGAAATAACGGGTTCGATTCGAAATTTCAATCACCTGAAGAAGGCCGGAGCGTACAACGGCCAAAATGTTGTGAATATGGCAATGAAGATGAGGATAACAGTCCGAATAATGTTAAAAAAGTAAATGTTTCTTTTTTTGGTTATATTTTCCAAATTCTTAAAACTCTGGCCTCGTAACACGTTATGAAAACATATTCACATCTTGATAAAACTGAAACGTGTATATAAAATTGTTATACATACGTCTTCCAGTATTTGGAGAGAGAAAAAAAAATAATCTGACGACATGAATACCACCTTGTGGTTTAGTCTCTGATCAGTCGGCGCATGCGTATGTGTGTGCTTACTTCTTGGCTGACGATCAAAGGAAGAACAAGATAAGTAATACCTGTGTGAGGTTAGTGATTCGAATATAGTAATTGACTAAATTTTGGGGAAAAATATTCCTCTCAGAATAACAAAGAAATAAAATGTATATTTTTTCATTCACGGAAATATCTTTTATTACATAAACAGAAACGCGACTGAAAAATCAATTATCTTAAAACAAAGTATCCAAATTGAATATTTAAAAAAAAAAAAAAAAACGAAACAATTTTATTATCTTTTGATTGATTGATCAAATATTTGAAGAGATAATGTCAGAAGATATAAAATTCAAAAGACATATTTATTTATCAATAAATATTGTAATTTTAACAAGCAACCAACCCGAAAGTTTTATGCTAAATAAAAAATAATGGAAAATGTACAAAGTTGAATTAAGTAAAATTCTTTTCTGTAATGATTATTTTTGATTAATTCGTTTTTTTTTTTACGGTTTATCAACCTTTTGCAGGTTATTTATAGCCAGAAAATATTTTTAGATTGTAAGAGTTTTTTTTTTTTTTTTTTGAGATAATAATAATTTACTGGTGTGAGTCCTGCTAATTAACTCATATCCGGGGGCAGAAGAGGCGGATTTTTACCTTTCATAAGGGTATGATAGAGGAGGGGCTATGCCGATGACACTAACGTTTATAATTGGGATGATAAAGCTCTTGTATAAAAGCTCAATATTCTCTCCCAAGTGTTCCAAAAACACGAGTCAAGATAAATCTTTCCAAAACAGAATCTAGCATCTGAAACTGAAATGATGGCACCTGACCTATATTCATCATAAAAATTCAGTATTTGGAATTAGTAGATATTATTGATTTATTCATTTTTTACGGTTTATCAACCCTTTGCATGTTATTTAAAACAAGAAAATATCTTTTGGATTATAAAGTTTAGTGTGTGTGGGGGAGACAATAATAGTTCAGTAATACAAATCTTACTAATTAACACATAGCTGAGGAAAGAACAGTTAGATTCATGCCTTTCCCGAGAGTATTTGCGCATGAGTGAATACAACAAACGCAACTGGAATTGGAACTCGGCTCTCCAATTTACAATTGGGACCATTATCCATGACACCATCTTCACATCCAAGTTTATATTACCTGTTATTCCAAAGCGGTCACCCATCCAGCTACTGACCAGATTCGACGTTGCTTAACTTCACTGATCGTACGAGAACCGTTGTTTTTTTACAATTAAATGTATTAGAATTACATTCGTATTTAGAATAACATGTAGGTTTCATCTTTCATCTCTTTTTCAAAATTAATCATTAAGGAAAATATTTGACAGTGTCTGCAAAAATAGCTATTTCATTTCTTTGATTAAGTAATTTTTTATTTTCCGAAACGTAATTATGTATAGTTTCTCATGTATCCACAAAAGACATGTATATATATATATATATATATATATATATATATATATGTGTGTGTGTGTGTGTTTGTATATGGACGCTCGCTCGTACATTTACCTATATTTATTCATTTTATTATTATTATTATTATATATATATATATATATATATATATATATATATATATATATAGATAGATAGATAGATAGATAGATAGATAGATAGATAGATAGTCATCCACAGACAGCCTGTTTTGCTGTATTACAGCTCATCAGTGTGTTAGATATTTGATTGCTTCAAGCCGGGATCGAAACGTGACTTATTTAACATTAGTCAGAGATTCTTACCTCTAAGAAGAGAAACTGTAATAATTACCTTTCCAGAAAATGTTTTAACTCTTTAGAACTCATTTCCAAATTCAGACACGAAAACAAATTCCTACTACGCTGGCTACAACCTGAAACTATTAAATAACTATTTAATAACTATATGTGAATGGCTAAATCTAATAAAATTGATTCCAAATAGCAAAATTTGCAACTGACGAAGATACATGAAAAATTAACTAAGGTAGGAATGTTTGAACATAAATCCAGTAAATATGGAAGACTATTGTATATGAAAACAAAACACAAAATAAACTACCCTTGAGACTCTTCAGTGGGTGAAATATTTAGATCCTTTGCAAAGAGGAGTGATATATGGCGTAATAATAACGAATTAAACTGGCCGTAATCAAGAACGGTTGATTTCTATATCCAGAATGTTTATTTTTACAAAGACGCTGTTCCTGATATGCTGTCCTCAATAGACATGGCATATTTTAGACAATTTGAATATTTTTTCTAGTTGCAAGTCTAGTAGATTTGTTATTTTTCTTTTTTCTTTTACCCGTTAGAATATTTAAAAAGACAACAATGGTTTGTATAACAAGGTTGCCATGGTAACGAAGTTTTTTTCGTGTTTTCAAATATTTTGAAAATGCTCACGTATAGGAACATCAACACAAAAAATAAAATAATCAACATCTGTTTTTCACATATTCAATTTTTACCTATTTTAGGATATTTCGCATCAATCATTTATCTCAGTACATACATACATATATATATATATATATATATATATATATATATATATATATATATATATATATATATATAGGTATTATGTACATTATTTACATTATTCGGACTATCTTCCTCATCTTTGTTACCATACTTATCACAACGTTTCGGCCATTGTACGCTCCGGCCTTCTTCAGGTGGTTGGAATGTCGGACTGAACCCTTTATTTCGCTCACTGGGGTAGACTGTTCTAGTTCCACGTGTCATGTTTAATGGATGTCAGTTATCAGTTATCTCCTGTTAATTCTCCCCTCCAAGTTCTCCATCGCCTTAACCAGATATTGAACTCACGCACTTTGGATCCTGTCACTAGATCTAACTAACGCCTTTATCCACTGTGCCATGGGCCCTCAAGATGCAGGTCCGAGTTTTGCCGGAGAGCGTAAATTTTTCTTTAATAACATGTCCCCAACATTCAAAGCGATAGACGAAACAAAATAAATACACTGTTTAATAAATAAACCGAGCGTGTATTGAAATACAAGAATTTACTAAAAATAACGTAGTGTGTCCGAGATAAATGATATATATATATATATATATATATATATATATATGTGTGTGTGTATGATAAACGATATATATATGTGTGTGTGATAAACGATGTGTGTGTGTGTGTGTAATAAACGATATATATATATATATATGTGTGTGTGTGTGTATGATAAACGATATATATATATATATATATATGTGTGTGTGTGTGTGTGTGATAAACGATATATATATATGTGTGTGTGATAAACGGTATATATATATATATATACGTATATGAAATAAACCATATATATATATACGCATATGAAATAAAAATATATATATATATATATATATATATATATATATATATATATACGCATATGAAATAGACGATATATATATATATATATGAAATAAAAGAGATATCTGTATATACGTATATGAAAATAAACGATATATATCTATGAAATAAACGAGATATCCATATATACGTATATGAAATAAACGATATATATATATATATATATATATATATATATATATATAAAATAAACGAGATATCTATATATACGTATATGAAATAAACGATATATATATATATATATATATATATATATATGAAATAAACGAAATATATATATATATGTATATGAAATAAACGATATATATTATATATAAATGAGATAAAGGATATATATATATATATATATATATATATATATATATGTGTACACTACAGTTTCAAAGTTTGAGCCGACCTCTGGTAATTTTGTAGTTGTTTTGTACTTTAAATAAGAAAATTATTATACATGGTTAAAAAAGTGAGGCATGATTTTCATTAGAAATTTTATTATGACAAAAAGAAAAAAAAAATCATTTTTCGATTAATTTTGTTCTCGTCAAAATATCCACCTTTTGCCTTGACTACTACGGCTCAAATTTTTGGCACTTCTTATGGTATAAGTGATTCCATTCTATAACAACTCTATGAGCTCTTTTTCATTTTGGGGATAGAAAGGTTTTACTCTTCTGTCAAGTTCATCCTATGCTAAATATCGGGGTGGTGACTTTAAACTTTTCAACTGTGTTGTATGTATATATATATATATATATATATATATATATATATATAAATTTTCCTTGTGCATCGATTTTACAAGTACGAGATTTCAACTCACTGGATTGTTTTTAACGAAAAAAAAAATCAAACGTCGTGTTATTACAATTGAAGTGTTTTCATCGACTCCCTGTGTAACAGCAGGTTCGCATGTCGGCCATTGTACCTAGGTTGTCATTGACTGAAAGTGGGTTAAATGAACTTCTTTAAAGCATTCTGCATTTGGGGAGAAAGGACAAAGGTCAACGCATAAACAGCAATATTGGCTGTTTCAGTTGCTGGAGGATAGACGATGGGAT